AACTCCTAGCTGAACACACCTGTATATCTCTAATTTTATTTACTTATTTATTTAATTTTTTAAACAAAACTGTAATTATGGACCGTACAGAATACACTGACAAAATGACTTTACTCCTATCAGACCGTTCCACTTACTCTCCTGCATCCCGTGATCCTACCTCATCATTAAAAACCAAATTTAACCTACACCTAAAAAATCTTCTAAATTCTAAACTCATAAACTATTCTACTTACAGAAACCTTATCTCCTACAATTCAGTTGCTCCCCGTTTTTATGGACTTCCTAAAATCCACAAACCCGGCACCCCACTCCGTCTGATCACTTCCAACATTAATTCTCCTTCTGTTAAACTTAGCAAATTCTTACTACCTTCCTTACAAATCTTCAGCCACAACAACTCTTATGATGTACAAAACTCATTCCATCTCCGTGAACAGCTACTCTCCTTTACCATTCCAGACAATTTCATTCTTTGCTCCTTCGATGTTGAAAGTTTATTTACCAACATACCCATAGACAAGGCACTTACTATAATAGACGACAATTGGACTTCATTGAACCTCACACCTCACTTAACCGCTCCTCATATCTCGAATCCCTTCATCTATGCTGTAAATCAGGCTACCTCACTTTCCAAGGACAATTTTTTAACCAAATCTCCGGACTAGCAATGGGTAACCCCCTCGCTCCCGACATCTCGAACATCGTTCTCAATGATCTTCTAGACTCCATTATCCCTCTTTACCCTGACGATATCATCTTTATTCGGAAATACGTAGACGACCTCCTCCTAATCATCAATCCAAATAAAATTCCTGATATTCTATCACATTTTAACTCTTACCACCCCCGCCTCAATTTTACAGTACAACGCGAACTCAATAATTCTCTCCCTTTTCTCGACCTTCTAATCATTAAAAATCCCAATAACACCATATCCACAGACTGGTACACTAAACCAACTTACACTGGCAGACTCCTAAATTTCCATTCTAAACATCCCTACCACCAAAAAATTAACGTTGCGAAAAATCTCATCCACCGTAGTCTCTCCCTCTCTGATCCCCAATTTCATGTTACCAATACCAAACGCATAAAACAGATCCTGTCAAACAATAATTTTCCTCTCCATGTCATTAACAAACTTATAACAGACCACAATAATCGCTCTTCCTTAATCTCAACTTCCACTAATTCTCCACAACCCATTTCAGCCCCTATATACAGATCTCTACCTTATATTCCTAACCTTTCAGACAACATCAACAAAGTTTTACGATCTACTAACCCTAACTTACGACTTGCATTCAAATCTCACAACACTCTCTCAAAACTATACACATCCCTAAAAGATCCGGTTCCTCTCTCACACCGCTCTCATATCGTTTACCGTATTCCATGTTCTACCCCCAATTGTTTTTCATCCTATATTGGTGAAACCAAAAATCTCCTAAAAGACCGCATAACCCAACATAAATATTCTGTATCCTCTCGTAATTTTACCGCTTCCAAATTATCCGAACATTCTCTCTCCCTCAATCATTCATTTGATTTCGACAAAACATCCATCCTTGCCACAGTTCTCAACCATGACAAACGACTCATTTCTGAAACCCTCCACATCCAGCTTCAACCAAAGACAGTGAATCTTAAATCTGACAAACAGAACTTTTCTTTAGCCTATTCCCAAATTCTGAATTTATTAAAACATCCATAGTTATATTCCTTTCCTTTTTGCTGACAACTCCCTTATATATATATATATATATATATATATATATATATATATATATATATATATATATATATATATATATATATATATATATATATATATATATGTATGTATATGTATATATATATATATATATATATATATATGTTTATGATATATTTTTATTTCAATTTTTCTCCCTTATTACTCAATAGTTATTTTTCTTTTGAATTTTTCTTTCACTTTCTATTAACTTTCGTTCAATTTTCCATAATTTTTCTAAATAATATATCTCTCGTACCTATTTAGGCTTCCAGCGCTTTTAGTTCAAACTTCGTCTGATAACCGTTAGAGATGACGCCACCTACACATCTCTTCTCTCTCCCCCATCCCTTGTAACGACTTTTATTCTCCCCTTGACACTTAAGGAGAAAGGTAGTACTTCTTTTATTTCTTTCTTATTTCAGCTTTCTCAATTTCTTCCCTCCTTCCTTTCATTCCTTTTCTCTGTTTTTAACTCTTTATTATATTATACATTGTCTGTACATCTTGATAGACTTTACAATATCTCAATTTTCTATCTAACTACTCCATTCTCAATGTTTTAATTTTACTATTTATTTTATTTTCATTTCTTATATAACTTTATATTTCTTTTTTATGTTTTCACATTTTATTCTAAGATTCCCAATGTAACAGTTTTGTCACCCCTTTTTGATTATGCCTACTTCATCATTCCTCACAATGTAACAGTTTTTATTATTTATCTCTTAGTTCTTAGTCATTATTCTAACAATTTCATTTTACTTTATATCTATCTATTTTATTTTTCTAATAATTTTTTTATTATTTTATTTTCTCATACCTTGTTATCTGGTTATTTTCTTAGCCCTGATGAAGGCCTGAACTTCAGGTCGAAACGTCGGCATTTGTAAAAAATAAATATTATAATTTATTTTTGCCTTCCTTTTTGACTGAGCACCCCAACTATTCTTCTCTTCATTATCCACGACAGTCAACCAATTACCAATTATTTAATTTTTTGTTTTTCTTTTCTTTCTCCACATTCCTTTATGTCTATTATTTCATATTATATCCTTTTTCCTTTTCTTTCAATCTCTCCTGCAGATTTATAGAAGTATATTCACATTTGCATTCATTATATATTACACTACAACAATCGTTAGCATCTATTTACTTCAGTTTAGGATCTTGTTACTTAGCTTACTCTGTTCATATTTTAATGTACTCACTGTTTATAATTTTAATAAGCTCCTTCACATTGTTTATACATTTTGTTCTAAATATGTAATTTCCACAATTCTCTATCTTTTTGTATCTTGTCCGTTCTACCCGTGAAGAAGACCTGCAAAGTCGGGTCGAAACGTTAGCTTTTAATAAAATAGTTTTGCCACCATTTAGCCTATTTATGACCACCATCCCGGACCATCTCCTTCCTTTAAAAAAACAATAAACAGTTCATTGTAATAATTTTTTTAGAAAACACAGGAACTTGTATGTATTTCTTTACAAAACTTGAGACCTCAAAATTTTTCCTAATAAACTTCAACTTAATTAATATGAACTTAAAGCTTATAAGTTGAACAATGGTCAACTATTAAATATTCAATTAATTGTTTTGTTTTTTGTGATATGGGATGTATTGCAATAAATATAGGCAATTATATTAAAAACACATTTTATTTATAAAAATAACAAATTTTAAAATAACGATTTTTCATGTAAGTTGGTTATCTAATTGTGTTTTTCTTCCAAATTTCTGTCGTAGTAATTGATGTGTATTTATAAGTGACAAACTTTATGTTTGTAGCCCAAATATTTACGTTTCCATGAAAATAATTGAAGCAATCAGTAGATTTTTTAATTTTAAACTTAAATTTTAGTAAGAAACATAAGGTTTGTCACTAATAAATATATACAAATTTCTATGAAGAAGATCTGGTAGAAAAACACAATTTCATAATCACTTTACGAGAAAAATGTTTAAAAAACCATTATTTTTAAAAAATTTATATTTATTTAATGTAAAAATAAATGAAGAGTAGAATAGTTGGGGTGATCAGTCAAATAAAAAGGCAAAAATAAATGATACTATTTATTTTTACATTAGCCGACTTTTCGACCTGAAGTTCAGGCCATCATTAGGGCTAAGAAAAGAACCATATAACAAGGTATGAGAAATATAAGTAGTGTAGGTTAAAAAAAAAAAAAAAAAAATTAAAGTAAAATTCAGTTGTTAGAATAATGACAATAGTAAGAACAAAGAGATAAATGATAATAACAATCTCTCTATGCCATCTTTAAAATATATCTAGTAGTAAGCAATTATTTTTTTAACTCTATACTAATCTATATTTCCTTTAATATTTTGAACCTGCCATAATTTTTACCCTTACTTCCCTTATAAATTATAAATCCCTTACATATAAAAATACCTATTTCTATTCAAGATAGAGTGGCAAGTGAAGGTTTTACGATGTGCTCATCGCACCAGATTTTTCTCTTATTTTTTATCATTGAATATAGTGTTCCACCATTCTTCATTTGTGTTTTATATTTTCTTCATAACTATGTTTGTTGGTTTGTTTCGATGTCTAGGCGCAATACATCCAGGTCATAAGCGCACTTCATTACTATGTATGTGCGAGTAATTTATGTTTTGTTTATTTATTTACTATAATAAGTTTTTCGGCCAGAATAATCTTGATTTAAAATTAAATTAAATAATCTTAATTAACAAATAAATAAGAGATCCCCTCTATTTAGATACTCTATTATTTATTTTTATTTTGTCCACCTCTATTTTAAGAAAATTTCATACTTAATATATTATTTCAGTAATTTGCATATTGAAGTAATTTAAATATTAACTCTTTGTGGTCACACTGATAATTATGAAACAGGGCCATATTCTAAATTTAAAGTAAGGGCTCCTATTTGGTATTAAAATGATCATCGGATCATCTATAATTGTACACCATTAAACATATGCCTTGGACATGGCAAAGAAATGGCGGAACAGAAAAAGAAAAACAATCCTGGTGAGAATCTATCATAAGACCTCTTGCATTAAATATATTAGCCAGTCCCAGCTTGGCAATGGACCAGTTAGACTAGCATGGATATACAATGAGATTTAATGAAAACCCTGTATACACCTGTCTTAAGTTGTGTTAGGACCACAAAGGGTTAAGTCTATGAAGTATCTTTGTTTCAAATTATATTTCCTAATCTAAGTCATAATTCTTTTATTTTTAATTAGTGGATATTGTACAGCTACTCTTGATTGAAGAAAAAGTAGTTGATAGTATAGCTAAGAGCTCCAAAACTTCTGAAACAATTAATGAAATGGCGGATCTGTTCAGTACACACTACGATTGGCCACCAAAGTCATTCCAAGGTGACAATCTATTTTTGTCTGAACTCTCTGAGTGAATATATGTAAGTATTATTTATTGGATCATAACTACCATTTTTCACTTCTAAAATATGTTTCCATTAATTATGTAATTGTTTAAAATTGAAGTTTCATTAACCTGATTTATGTCTCTTCATTATAACACAGTGAATGTTTCACTTCTGTATTTTCAGATTTATTGGCACTAAAGTTTCACAATAGATCACATTTGATAAAATTAGACTTGGCAAGAATATTTCTCAACAATTTATTCATAATGATAATGTAATATCAATCAAATGTTTTTATTTACTCTTTTTTAATGTGGTAATTTCTATAAAGTTTATGGATAAAAGTGGATTTTGTGTTATCAATTATTTTATTGTTAGTTTCTCCTGAAATATGTAATATTTATAAAATGTAAACAATTGTAGTAAACACATTCATTGTCTAGTATAATTATGTTTAGTTTATTATTGAAATATTTCAAACATATATTTTAGTGTCTCAAATACCAGTTATTAACTGACATATCTTTAACCCTTAAATGCTCAGTGGCCTAGACCACTCTAAACTACCTCTCGGTGCTCAATCATATTCTTAAGTCAAGTTGTAGAATGTTTAGTGGCCTAACTTGTGGGTCACTGTTAAAACTATCTATATTCCATACAAAAAAAGTTAATTTTATTTTTGTATTTTCACTTTGTAATGATTCAATAATTGATAATTACATAAAAATAAACCCTGTAAATCAAAATGTGTTGTGATAATATTGCACTTTAGCATGTGCTTCTTTGTATGCCACTATCCTTTTCAGCAACCGACTATTTGGAAAAGTGTAGAATGGATGGTGGCCTATAGAATAGTTTATGTTTATTGTATTGACTTGAGTAATTTAAAAAAAAAATTTTGTTTTTTAAGATTTATTTCAAATAAATATTAAAAATAGAACAAAAAATCTGGTACGAAGCATCATACAAACTCCCTTCCCCTACTTTCTATAGAAATTAATTTTTTTTAAGTTATTAAACCTTTAGAATATTACTTTAATTATAAATACAAGCTTAGGACAATAAATATAAGTTATGAAAATTCTGTGCCCTATATATGCTTGCTTTGTCTATTTGAAAATATATTTCAAAGTTTTTTATTTATTTTCTATGGAAACGTTTATTTCCCTTTCAATAATATAAAATTAGATATTATTAACTACAACTAAAATTCATAAGCTTTTTGTCATTCACCATTAACTTCTACGATCAAAGTTAGATTCCCAATGGTATATTATAAATCTATATTACTACTCTAATTTCCGGAAATTTGAATTCAACCTGCAGAAATATTTCTCCCATTTTCGCCTTTATTTAATTATCAAATTCTTTCATAGTTCATATTTATCCATTTTCTATTGCTACTAAAATGACGGACCTTTATTTATTTCTAATAATAAAGAATTAAAGGTGATTAAGAGGAAGAAATTTTGAAAATTCAGAGTTTGATCAAAATATTTAGAGCTCTTAAGAGAGTGCCCTTGATTTTACACATTTTTTTTACAATTTTCTTGAAAAGAGCTCTAAAGATTTTGATCGAACTCTTCATGTTGATGTTAAATAGTTTTACAATAGTTAATGTGGTAACATTGTTATAACAGTGGTGGAACCTGCAGGTTATAGAAAAGTGAGACTAAGTTGTTTGGCTCACAAACCTATGTACATAAATAAAGGAGTATTAAAATATTGGAGTTTTATAATTCATTAACAAAAAACACAATGATTGATATTAGTCTGTGGGCCAGACCCCTTCCCTACCGTGCACTCCCTCCACATCCCTATAAATAGCATATTTTATTTTTTACATAAATTAGGCCAATTATCACCAACATTTTATTGTTGCGCTATTAAATTCGACGTTTCGACCATACTAAGGGCAATTTTTAAGTCTTGATGAGTCCTCCATTATTTATTCATCATTAATGTCAGGGACTGATTCAATCCCTCCAGAAATGATGTAGGCGAAACCCCTATAGAGCATGACAATTTAATGTTGTGAATTATTTGCTGAACAAATTATTTGCGACATTAATGATGAATAAATAATGCAGGACTCATTAAGACTTAAAAATGGCCCTTAGTATGGTCGAAACGTCGAATTTAATAGAGTATCAATAAAATGTTGGTGATAATTGGCCTAATTTATGTAAAAAATAAAATCTCAAGACACCAAAATTAGGATAAATGAACAGAAGAAATTGCATATTGTTGTGTTCCTTTTAACTATTAATTAAAAAAAAAATGTTCCCACAAAAAAAAAAAAAAATGAACACACTGCCCCAAAATGACGTCCAAACATGGCGGACTAATGACTTTGACTTGAGTTGGATTTTTGGTCACTGAGAATCAGCATTTGGCTTAATTTTTATTAAAGGTGAGTAGTCAGAGAATAATAAAACATGAAAAAATATTAAAAAATAATTGGCTTAGGCAATAAAAAACACCAGTAAAGTCAATTTTCTCAACAAAAAAATTTTCAGTTAACAATCGAGTGTCGTTTGTAATTAAACGGCCAATAATAACGAAAAACGTGTTGAAATAAAACATCTGGAAAATATATTTCTCTTTCTAAAACACTGATTACTTTTTAAAATATTTGAAGCAGTTCTGTAGAAAATGCACATAATGCACATCAGCGGTAAAGCAATACTGGTATAGGTGTCTACAGGCCTCTGTCATATCATTTGGTACTCATAAATAGCATAGTTATAGTGCTATAATAACGTTTTTGGTACATTATATTGATTGTGTAAATGAACAAATGTTAATGCAATAATTTAATTGCCCAACAAAATTAAACAATTCTTTTTTGAATATTTCTTTATTCTATATGGAGGTCGTTTAAGAAGGCCTCTATTGTAAAAATGATATAATTGTAATAATAAAACTTAATTCAAAAATGCTTTGCGGAATATCATGAATTTTTTATTAAAAGTTTGCAATTTAACACTTTGTTTTATATATTTACTGATTCTTAGAGGTAAGTTGAATTGTTTATAATTCCCCGGAAATGAGTCATATTAATACCTGTTTTATAAACTAAAATGTATATACTTATTCTGAACTACATATAATGAATAGTTGCCGGGTTGTTTAGATCTTTTTTTTTTTCTTATGCCAAAGTTGTTGGTCATTCGGCCATCCGACATCTTGCTGCCCAGTATAATTTAGATTTTTTTATGTATATATATTATGACCAAAAAAAGGATAAAATAAAAATATATAAAATAATTTTTAATAAATATAATTTTCCATAGGAATTTTTATTTGTTGGGCGCCTGGCTTTACTAGCCTTTCATCTCTAAAGAGATAATTATAGAGAATATAAGTTACTTACCCATGATTTGGCCATGATAAATCATTTATTCTACCATGCTAGCTCAGGTGAGAAGGGTTAGGTTGGATATTTTTTTATAAAGCAGCAAAAAAGGTTAACAGATCTATTTACAGAATTAATACTATGTACAATAAAAAGAAATAAAATACAAGGAAAAAGAGGGAATTTAAACATAATTACTATATACAATTAAAGATAAAAAGGAAGATATTTAAGATAATAAAGATAATACAAATAACAAAAAAAGATACTTATTTTATATACAATATTATGGCATGCCACATCCAAACATCTAGAAAAGATAGTCAAGATACAATAAGATGTAAGAGTACATGCACATGCTAAAATATCAATTAGTCATCTGCTCAGGAAACAAAAGAGAGTAGAGTTTGTTTTGTTTCCAGTGCTTTCTTAATCTTGGTTACAATATATATATATATATATATATATATATATATATATATATATATATATATATATATATATATATACATATTTAAACATAACCATTTAATTGGGAATAAGGTCACTAATTAGTTATTTAATAAACTACTGAATGTTCATTTCCTCTATGCTTATTGACGTTTTAATCCCGATATTTTTCTTTTTATAAGTTAATGATGGGATCCTCTTCAAATTTTTAAATTTAGAGCTTCAATCAGACCAGGGACACACCGACAGTCTCAGCACCGTCCACTAGCACATATGTTAAGCTACCGGTAGCTTAATTGTAAGGTTTTGGATGTATCGGCTAAGGCAAATCTGTCCCTTACTTGGCATGACTATTAGCTTCAACGTTTCTCGGAATCTAATAGTGCATCTAATCTAATCTAATAGTGCATTATGTGACTTTTAAGTTGCCACTAAGATAGGCAAGCATTATCCTGTGACCAAATGCTCCAGGTGGAGAGGCAACTGTGAGGTAGATCAGCAGAGCTATTCGCGGGTGCACCAATAATAGGTCAGGGTGGGAACTGTTACCTTTATGATCCATAAAAGTAGGCTTTGAATTTTTGTTTTCCACAAATTCAATCATATTTGTGTCGATAAATTCCTCCAGAGTTTTCCCTGCGGAATTTGAGCTTGTGTAACCCCAGCGCCAGGAGTGTGTGTTGAAGTCTGGAGGAGGTGGAAATTGCTTGACCACAGATTGATTTTCTCTCCTTCCAATTCCAATCATTTGCTTCCATTTCCTTTTTAACTTGAAATTTGACTGTGAAGGAAGACTTTACATCTACAAGTATTCCTAATGCTATCTGCCTAGCTTTTGGCATTGAGTAAATCTGGAAGTCTGCATTATTTAAGACAGTCAGCAACAGCGCCTGTCTCACCAATACCAAATAGATCAATTTTGTTTGAAGATATAAAATGTTTCAATTCTGTGTAATTTTCACGGGTGAGACCACATGCATTCCAAAAAAGCCTTTAAGATAAAGTTGTCATGGTCCTGAGAAAGGCCGTTTGTGCTGGCCATGCTATCAGTCACTATTGGTGACACTGGGCGGCTTGCGACTATGTGATTGTTCGGTTGGTTATCTAGAGGCACGACGAGGACGAGATCACACCAACCCCAGGGTTGTTTTGTAAAACTCATATATCACTAACAAAAAAATTAATTTCATTTTTTTATTTCCTTTATTTTGTTCAGAAGTAGGGCCATAACATAAAAAAATAGGAAATTTCAATATTAAATGCTTTATTCTCTTTGTTCAAAGAAAGATGGAAAGGGCGAAGCTATATGTCCTTCTTGGTAACCAGAACTAATTGTGAGTATTTGGTCTCAAAATTAGGTAAATGCGAAATTGAACCTAAAAATTAGAAAAACACATAAAGCGATCGAGGAAGGAATTGTTAAAATCTCAGTAAAGAAAACAAGGATTATTATCCATTATGTGGCTAAACGAATATATAGTAGACAGTTGAACAGAATATTTCAAGCAGCTGCTAAAAGAGGGTCAAATGCTGGAGCAGT